AATTTTTATCAACCTGCCCAAAGTACTTATTTATTCAAATATTTATATCCCACTTCCCCCTGTGACTCAAGGCAGTTTACAGATCATGCTGAAAAGCATAATAAAGTAAAGGTAAAGGTTCCCTTGCTCGAAAGCCAGTCGAGTCCGACTCTAGGGTTGCGGTGCTCATCTCCGTTTCAAAGCCGAAGAGCCAGCGCTGTCCGAAGACGTTTCCGTGGTCATGTGGCCGGCATGAATAAACACCAAGGCGCACGGAACGCTGTTACCTTCCCACCAAAGTGGTACCGATTTATCTACTTGCAATTTCTTGCTTTCGAATGGCTAGGTTGGCAGGAGCTGGAACTAGAGACGGGAGCTCACTCCGTCATGCAGCAACTCGGGTCTCGAACTGCTGAACTACTGACTTTCCACAGCCTGCAGTTCAGCGTCTTAACCACTTGAGCCACCGCAGCTCCAAAAAGCATAATAGGAGTGTGCAAAAAAATAATAATCATTTTTTCCAGCTCCATTTTAGCCTATGGGGACCACTATAGTCAATAGGCCCCATAAGCTATGATGGAGAATCGATCTGGAGGTATCTTGGGCTCCGGGGGGCTGGGTTTTTTTTAGGTAGAGGCACCAAATTTGCAGCATAGCTTCTGGTGCCTCATCTCAAAAAACCCTCCAAGTTTCTAAAAGATTGGAGCAGGGAGTCCAATTTTATGAACCCCAGAAGAAGGTGCCCCCGTTCTCCATTGTTGCCAATGGAGGGGGAAAGGCATTTAAAAGGAACTCAGTCCCTTTTAATGCCTTTTGCAAGCAGTGCCATGAAGGGAACTATGATGAGCACTGCAGTGGTATTTAGCATATCTATTATAGGAACCCTTCCTTTAGGAGCAAAGAGGGAGAACTGATATTTCTGAACTGCATCAGTGGTGAGATAAGAAGAAGAAGAGATTGGATTTATACCCCGCCCTTCACTACCCAAAGGTGTCTCAGAGCGCCCTTCACTACCCAAAGGTGTCCCCATGACAGACACCCTGTGAGGTCGGTGGGGCTGAGAGAGCTCTTGACAGAAAGTGCTCATTTTTCAAGAGCAGCTCTTATCAGAGCTACGGCTTGCCCAAGGTCGCCCAACCAGGTGCAAGTGGAGGAGTGGGGAATCAAACCCGGTTCTCCCAGATTAGAGTCCGCGCACTTAACCACTACACCAAACTGGCTCTCAAGCTGTTTTACGGGTTCTTTGGAAACTCAAGACGTGCGTGACTAATGCACCATGTGATAGGCTGAGCTACCTTTGAAGGTGGAGATGATAATTTAGGTGCTCCCAGGAAACCATTACAAAAGTAGCATGGGGTCTGTGGGACTCTCAGTTAGTTCTCTTCCGGGAACTATTAAAAATTCTGGTTGCAATCCATAGAGCTGGAGCTGCATTGGATCCAATTACAATGTTCCCTCTAAGCTGTGGAGTCCTGTGAACAAAAATTCTACTTTGTGAGCTACTGGCATTGAAGTTGTGAGCCAGTGATTTGGCTACTGCATAGATTAGTTTGCTCTGGAGCCATCCTTCCTGAGCTAAGACAAAAATGTGTGAGCCGGAGACTAAAAAACTGTGAGCTAGCTCACACTAACTCAGCTTAGAGGGAACACTGAAATTATACTCCGAGTTGTCAGATGCTGGGAACAAAACAAAATGAAAAAACTGTGGGGGGGGGGCCTTACTTCATTTTAATGACTTATTTCTAGGCTTTCCAAAGCCGGTTGACCGCATCTGAAAACAGAAAGCTGGGCAGTGGTGGTCTGATCCAGCAAGGCTATTCTTGGCTTCTTGGCAAGTCGTATCATAATATCTAACTATCAGCCCAAAGTCAATCTGTTAATGAAGGACACTGCATCTATAAAATAGGACAAAGAATAAATGAAATACTGGAAATTTATTACTTGGGAAAGGCTAGGATTATTTTGTTCATGTGCAGGACATCAGAAAACGGATTCCCCCCCCCCCTTTTCATTTGAAACTCTTTCTTGGGGCTATCTGTTGGCTTAGAGTGCTAAACGGACAAAGAACTGTGACACAATGTATGAGTTGGGGAAAAACATCTTTCGGTAAAACTAGGGCTCAGGATTTGGCTGGGGGTAGAGTTGACAGCCCTGGATTCCATAGTCTTCCAATTAAATGCGTAAAACATTCACCCACAACTAAGGAGACCCGTCTTCAGGTGGGGATGGGAGCTCCCCTGGAAAAGGCACTGGACTCCCCAAGGAGGGAGATCTGTGCCTGGGAGAAAATACAGAGGCCGGGTGCAATGAAGTTATATTAATGCCAGAATGTACTTCTGGAGGGAAGGGGCAGCCAATCTAAAGAAACAGGATAAGGAATTGCAGAGAGGACTTTGCCCATTCTGCCTGCATATGGTGGTGTTCCAAAGGGAGCCGGAAATGAGGAATTTATATATCTCTGGTCTTCTTCCCCTCCCCCATTCCTATGCATTTCCCTCCTCTTTAGGATTCAGAGCTTTGTTGATTTAACCTTCTAGAGAATCCACAAAATGAGAGGGACCCTGACAACGCTGAAGGCAGGAAAAGTAGTGCCCGTAAGAGTGGCATCTGAGGCAGAAATTCAACAGGTGCAACTTTTTGCTCCTCTCTTCATCTGTAGCTAAAGGGCCACACTATCTGATTCTCTGGCATCTAGAAGCAGGATTGCTGACTTCCACCTCCCCTCATAGGGTCTTTGCGTTTAACACACAGAAATTCAGCTGGTAAAGTTTCTGTCCTTCCTACATCACTTATTACATCTGCTGTTAAGATTACGGGAGCACTGACCCCCCACCCCCGGGGCTCCTGTGCTTGGCCAGGGATCAGCC